CCAATGTGGCGATATGTGTTCTGCGCTGGTTTTTGGCACGATTGCGCGTTTTATGGCATCCCTGTTGACATTGAAAAATCTTTCGCAGAAGCTCGTTGGTTCGCGTCATGCTCTGTGTCTGAGAAGATAGGGGGAAAAATAAAATGGTGGAAGTTGTTGAATTGAAGTTCGGAAAAAGGAAATATCATCGTGGCCATCCTGTTAAGGGACAGTGGATATTTGGAGGTGTGGAAAGAGGGTCTGGGAGATTATTTTTAGTGGTTGTGCATGATAGAAGTAGGGACTAGTGATAATTTGTAATTTTATTTATTTGTGAACCATAGTATGAATTTTCTGGATAGTCTGTCTGGCTGTCATATAAATACGATAGTGATTACGTGGCAGCATGTTAAAAGGCGGTATGAAATTGGTATTTCTGCTGTTCGAAAAAGCATTAATTCATGGTAAGTGCATTTTATTTTATTCTTGTTCATATTTTGTAGAATATTATGTTCATTGTTTTTTTAGTATGAATTTCTGTCGTTATTGCTGTTTTTTTTTTAAAATTGTTTGAAATTTATTTTAGTTATTTTAGTTTATTTTGTTGATTAGTGCAGAGCGTCTAGATTGTGCAATTCGTAGATGTTTTTTTAAGTTTAAAAAGGATGCTATGTACATGGTAGTCTTTGAAATTTATTGTTGTTATGTTAATTTATTAAAGCGAGGTGTTCGTAGATTCGTTCATTGCCTAGATTGTGCCATTCATAGATGTTTTTTTAAGTTAAAACATATCGCTGTGTACATGGATTCTTGTCAAAATACTTTTGGTTAGAAACTTACGTTTTTGTTACGTTTTTGCTATTAAATTTTTTTTGCTTTCGTTTTGACTTTTTAGCTTAAATTGTGTGTTCAAAACATGGTTTTGCATTTGCGAAAAACGCGTTTTTGGAGACATTTTAGGCTTAAAGTTCGAAATGTAGACAAAAAATTTAGATAGTAATATGGCAGCATGTTTTGGCGAGAAATTTGGCGACTTGAGGGCACATATCACAGTAGTTCCTTGTTTATATATTTGGAAGTTATACAATTGTCATAAAATTACAATTAAAAAAAAAAAAAAAAGATGGAAAGAAAGAGAAATGTTAAATGTCAATGTTCTTTAAAAGAAGAACTGTTCTTCTTTAGAAACTTACCACAAGTTTGAAAATTAGGATATTAATTTAACACTTGGCACCATAGGTTATAAATTATCGTGAAATTATCAGATGTGTTTATTAATTACAAATTTAGGTACTTACGTATTATCGCAACCATATTGGCGCGATTTGTAAGTTTGAGTAAAAAAGTATGAATAGAAAGAAAATGTACATTTATTAATTACAGATAATTTTTAATACAGTTTTTTATATTATTTTGTTTTAAAATATAAAATAGCAATTAAACCCTTCCGGTTTCGAATTTGAATAAGTTGCAGAATTATTTTTTCGGCGGAAATCTTTTGGCTATTGCTTTTAGCACTGATTGAAAACCCTCTTCGCCATTAACAGCTTGAGCTTGGCGCCATATAAATTCGATAAGGTATGAGTCAAGATGATGACGGGCTGTTCCTCTGTTTTTTGTTGTGCCATTTGGCTGAGCCCCACATGTGCTCTACATGTTGTGTGTCAACGCCCGTGTTGGGATCCACAAAGTTCTTTTTGTGATTAACAGTTCCATGCAGAAATCCAGCATTTTTGAACTCACTTGTATTGTATCCTTTCCAGCAATCCAAATAAATGATGCTTCCTTCCTTGATATTTTAGCAAATTTTTTCCATGAGGGGTAACGGCGCTTCTGTTAGGTACAGTAACCAATAAAATGCACTTTTAAAGTCTCTTTCTTTTCTCGGCAAATTCCGCCGAAAACCCATTGCTGTGGTAGTACACGCCCAGTGTTATTTTTTCGTTTTACAAATAAATTCTTTTTACAAAACTACGTATAACACATAGGGTTGCCGTAAGTAGGGTCGCCAAATTTGGCAATTTATGCGAATTTTGGCCTGGTTGCGTTAATACGTAAGTACCCAAATTTATTAATTGCTAAGATGAGTGCAAGAATAGCTTTAATTTATGATGAGGCATTTCTAAAAGCAATTTTCTTAAAGTTTGGAAACGAAATTTTATGAATGCACCTAAGAGTTTTTATCCTACAATGTTAGTATGCTTTACAGCTTTTTATCCTAAAATTTTATTATTGAAGATACTGACTTATATTATAGTTAAAAAATTGAATGAGACTATCAAAATAATTTAGTTTATAGAGTAAATTATTGTTATAAAAATAATTTAATCTGTTCTTTGATTAAATAATATCTCCCAATATTTTAATATTGTACCCCATATAAATAACCATAACTACATACAATTAAAAATAGCTTTTAGGAATCTCACAATGATATTTTTCATTTTCACACACATGCATGCATGCATGCACAAAATAAATAAATATTAAAAAGAAAATCTGAAAGGTTTCAGATTTTAAATTACGTCCAAAAAGTCCTTTTTTAAACGTTCTGTGCGTTACCTTTATTTATTAACCCTGCAGAGCTTGTGTGGCATATTGTTACGTTAAAGGTTGAAAGAAGAAGAAACATTGTATTAATTTATATATTTTAATTATTTATAACAGTACTACCTATTGCTACATGATGCAATGTTAAACATGTGTTAACTATTGTGGAACACATTACAAAATCTGAAAAATTCACATTTTCAGTTAATATTTTTGCTTACAATGTGTGCAACAACAATTGCAGCTAATACATATCTTAAACAACAGCAGTGATCCAACTCAAGTAGCAGGTCAACAAGATTTTTAATTTTGGATACAGTATTTTGATATTTTCCTGATATAGATATTGTACTGCTTTTTTATTATTTATGAAAAGCTGATTTTTCTTATAATAAATCTGAAATGCTGATAACTTCAGGGGTTTATCTTGGCTACTGTTAATTTTCCACAAAAATTCCTACGATACATGTTTTATAAACATCAGTAAAACAGTATTTACTTTATATTTAAAGGTACTCTATAATGAATAGCAGTAATAGCAGCAATAATGAGACTGCAAAAAGAAGCTTGATTTAATTTTTTATATTCAAATGGCTTGGTTTAATCTTTCTATTAAAACACTTAAATTATGAGTTTATTTAAAATCTATCACCTAAGCACAATGTCTAGGACATGAATTCAGTTGCAGCGCACCAAAACCTGGCTCTACGTTTCTCAGTTTTTGAAAGAAATTCATTTCTGCCTCTAATTTTGCCTCAAATAAAAAGAGCAGCTGCATTTATTATTTAATTATTTGCCATTAGTTTAACTAAATTTATTAATTATTTCATTTTAATTAATTTTTTTCCCTTTCCTGATTGCTGCCCACACAGCTTCAGCACTTCCAATTTTATAAATTACACTCTGAATATGTCCACTAATTCAGATGATTAATACTACTATTAACTATATGCATGAAATAATGTACTTATTTCAACAATGCTCTTTACTGGCATAACCATTTTTGATAATAAAGCATCCAAATAGAATAAATTTAAAATGAATTTTCAAAAGACATTTTTGTTGATTCTATAAAGCTTTTAGATACTCAACTTCTGCAAAATCTTTTACAGTAAATTACAGCAGGAAAACTTGTTTAGAATAATGAACTTATTTCCTATACACTAGATATGAGAATTATTATAGAACTCCATAAGTGGATAGCAGTTTTATAAAACTCATTACATGGATATCTACAGAATCTATCTAAATCTCTCCAGAAATTTACACGTATCTACAGAAATTCTTGCTAATCTTTGGAATATGGTAACAGGTAGTTGGCGACATTTTGCTAAGGCGATAAAGGTTACTAGCTAGGACTTTAGCAGTGTACATGGATAAAGTCAAGAGTGTGCGCAATGCCATTTTTGTGCAATTCTGGGATGTTTTTTAAAGTGAAAATAGGTCGATGTGTACATGGATGATACCGTGTATGTGCAATTCTTAAAAACGCGGCAAGCAGTGGGCGATTCTGCACTTTCTCCCAATTTCGCACCTAATCTTCGTCATGATTAAGCACTTTTGTTCCATAAAAGTTCTAGCATAAGCATAATTCGGCTAGCAGATTGTTGGAAAAAAATGTTGAGTAAAAACAAAAAAAACATGCCTTTACTTCGTGAAAACAAAATGGCATCCAAAACAAAACTAGCAGGTTGCTGTAGCAGGGTTGGTCACACAAATTTTTGCCAAAAAATCGCCAAATTACCATAATCCAAAGATTAACTGAAATTCTCAATACATAACTTGATGGAAATTCCTTATGAAAAACTACGAAACTGTATAGTTTTATACCCACAAAATTTTATAAAAAGTTCCTATTCAAATTTACAAAGATCAGGCCATAAATCTAATGAATTCTTCAGAAATTTTCCACTTCAGATTTTTATATAATTCTATAAAAAAAAAAAAAATAAAAAAAAATAAATAAAAAAAATTATAAACGGAATTCTTCCCTTATATTTTAGCCTTCAATTAAAAAAGAAAAGCAAATGCAAATACTATAAAGTGGAATTTTATGTAAATCAGACCAGATGGGTAAAAGATAAATTCACAAAAGTCTACGTTAAAGAAAATTTCTGCTGTTTACGTTTTCATACAGAGAAACGCACTCAGTCTGGGGAACATTTAAGTATCCATGTAACGTCTAAAATAAAAAACAGATATTTTACCACACAAATATAGCAATAAAACAAAATCCATCAGATTTATTTTTTTAAAATGTGCTAAAATACTTCGGGGCATAGTTCTCGTTAACAAATGCTCAATTTTCCACGACTCAAAAACACCAGCAGTAGCGTATAAAAACAGGAATCTACGCAGCCTATTTTAATCAAACGAATAAGAAAGAAATTTTATGGGTGAATTTTTTTTTATACCTAATGAATAATTAATTGTACTGTCAATTTAATCACAAAGCAATTTATCCAACTTACGGAGCGTTTACCAGAAGGCTAATTGCTCAGATGTGCTACGATGAAAAGTACAGTTTTCAATTGAATACCACCCCACAGAAATCCTGAATATTTACTTATTAAAGCTTACAGAGCTTAAATTTTTCTGTTTCTAAATAAAAGCAGTTTGCAAACCCTGAACGTCACAAACACATCGAAGAGAAACAACGCGAAAACACCGGCAACAACATCAACTTGTCTTCTCGTTCTACATCCCATTCTCCCTGTAACTACTCACTTTCCCTCTGTTCCAAGGCATATTTTCCCTTTATCTTTCACTTTATTACGTTGGTTGAATATTAAATTGTTTTATTCTTCTTTTTTGGGGGGGGGCGGAAGGTGTGATTGCACTATTGACATAAAAATTTTAATAACACAAGGCCAATGTGACAAATTGTTTGAAATAAGATAACTGAACTTTTTTATGTATTATTTTAAATGCTTTAGTAACATATGATTTTGAATATCAATCATAACTAAATTTTAAAATCCGGACTCGCTTTGTGCATAATTATTTTTTAATTAAAGTAACTAGAAAGAATATTTTTTCAATAAAATGAAAGTATTTACTGCTTCTACGCATTATAAACTATTGGAAAAAGATATTTTGAAAGAAGACATGTTAATTTCCATAATTTACGTTTTAAATCAAACAAAAGTATCTTTTTGTTTTAATAATTTTACTATTCTTGTAGTGAGGATCACGAAAGCTGGAGGAGCTGGAGGCAGTGTCTGAACATAGCTCCGAAGTTTTTTAAATAAGTGTTTCAAAAATGTTTTCAACTCTCTAAAATAGTTAAATGCACCTTTCCTATGCAATGTCTCATTCATCAAATTGAAAAAGGAAACTTCGCTTCTTCGAAACTTCAGGTGTTTTGTTAGGTGTTCACTATGAACACGAGAAATCCAAAAGAGGCTCTGACACGGAATATTCAGATAAGTAACATTCTGTTCTCCATAAAATATCTGTTTCTCTATCACTAGAGTGTCATTAAATTTCTTTAATTATTATTTTTCATAAGATTCTAGCATTATACAATAGTTGGTAATAGTAGCAGGTCATGTGGTTCTTTTCTCGTAACTATTCCGTAGAGACGCCACATTCCTTATCAGTTAGTCCGTTCTTATCAGCAACTCACACCCTTCGGAGGCCCCCCCTTTTCGTGCTTTGGAATTTCTTGTGAGGGAAAAAATGGGGATCTCTTGATCATCGATGAGTATAGATTGTGATTTTTGTAACAAAGATCCCCGACTTTTTTTTTTTTTTTTTTTTTTTTTTTTCAAGTCTCAAACTTAGAATTATGAGCAAATAAAAATACAGTGACAGAATTTGTTAAACTTGTACTATAATAAATTTCAACGGTTAAATTAATAAATTAATTTTATATTTAACTAATATTTAAGAAAAATAAACTGTATAATTTATTTTTGCTGAAATTCTCTCACACTGTGTATGATGGATTTATAATTTTGTCAATTACTGTTTTTCTGAAATATACATGAATTTTTTGGAAACGGTAATATTTAATGTTACTTTATTTAAAATATTATGTACATCTCTGTGATGATATATGTCTTTTCTAGTTAGGTCTCAAGATAAGGGCATACACATTACCATGTAGGAATTCATTCTTTTTTTTTTTTTTTTTTTTTTTTTTAACTTAGCTAAAGTTTGCTTCTTAAAGACACTAATCTTTGCAGATGAACTCCTTAACTACACTCATGGACACAATCGTATTTTAGGATATTTTCTACTTCTTTTCCTTTTCTTTCTATAGGCCCTTTTTTTTCCTCCTCTATTATTTGTGGGCCATTTATTTTAAATTTTATTTTGTCCCATCTTTTCTTTCTGGCCTTTTGAACTCGTAAAAAATGTACGAAGTTCCTTTTTACTCTCCTCAAACACGAAATTGCCCCTCTTTCTATATACCTTTCCTTCGCACCTATGCTTGATTTTTCGCCCATCGGTGCAGAAAGACTTAGCGGGTGCAAAACAAGACATGTGTCTACTTTGTCTGTCTGTCTGTCTGACTATTCTTGTAGTTTTTTTCATCTGCAATTAACTGTAGTTTTAGTTTCTCAGTTCGTAATAATAAACAAAGATATACTGTGAATTTGCTAAATCAATGAGAGGCCCACCAGCGGCCGAACGGTAAAATCGCTGGACACTGGTAGTTCGGTTCGAATCCCGCGAACGGGCTGGCTGCATGGGCGTATTCGTGGTTTTCCCCTTGTGTAACGTGTATACGAGCCAGCTTCCCTTAGACAGTCCTTCACGAAGGCATCCCTCCCCTTAGGTAAGGCTCCTCCTACCCTTAGGCAGATAGCCCTAGTGTGCTTTACCGTATTCTCAATACACACTAAATCAATGAGAGGTGCGTTATTTGGTAAATGTAGAATTCAGTTTATCTATGTACACCACTGTAAACAACAAGTATACTAATTGCTTCATTAAATCTTTACCTCAAGTTTAAACATTTTCTTCATCTTACACTTCACAGAGAGGGAAAAAGGCTTCTCTATCTCTTTTTCCAGCCATAATAACTCTACTACAGTGTTCCTTATTGCATCTGCATGTAACAAAAGGAGCAAAATGTTGCATACAAGTTTATAGCTTCAATCAATCAATCAATATCTTTTATACCGGACTGTCGCTGTTAACCCTTTAACTGCTTAAGACGTGTTTAAACGTTTTTGGAATTTCTTTAAAAATGCTTAAGACGTCTTTACACGAATTTCAAATCGCACGAAAAATGCTTAAGACGTGTATACACGAAGCCCGAATTTCGCGAAGATTGCTTAAGACGTGTTTAGACGACGCGATCTGGTCTTCCTTCCCCTACCTTTCTCCAGGCGGCTGTCAGTTGACACAAAGGTCTTAATAGGGGTGTGAAGTCTCTTTGAAAAGAGCACTTTAGGAAAAAGTCCTTAGAGTGAAGTATCTTTGTCAGACAGCAGGTATGTATTATCTGTGTGCCGACTAAAAGTTTGCGAAAGAAGATAAATCGTTTTACAACTGTTTGCCTTGTGGTACTTTATACAAATGAAAGTCAAACAGGATCCGACGTTGTTATAGTACATTGCCGAATTTTAGTAGAAACAAGAAAAAAATAAGGAATTGTAACGGAGGACGCCTTTATGCCCTATATGTTATAGAATCAAATATTTTATTTCTTGTATTGAAAAATGATTACAATTTCTGATTCGTCCAGGAAAAAAATATAAATGTTGCAACCAGCTTTCTTGTTTGCCTTCGTATTTCAAACGCGCGTTATTATAATGGTATATTCTTCTTTTTACATTCTTAAATGTTAAAACTGTGCTTTCAGCATGCCTGAGTTTTGTACTCGTATGTGTGGCTCTATGCTCCGTAGAAATGGCGAACTGACATATAAAAATTATATGAATGTTGAAAGGAAGATATTCCTACTCGAAACTTCAACTAAATGGAATAAATGAATACGCCGAAGGAATTTCTAGAAATATTTGTTTTAAAAATTTTATTATTAAGACTTTTAAATCCAAAATGTTTTGAAATCTAAAGAAAAAAATATGTAATCCTTGAAACATTTTTGAAAGAAATCTATCGATATAAAATCTCTTAAAATAAATGGAGTGTGTAAATTAATTAAAACAGTTAGTGTACGTAAAAGGGTTAGATCTACTCCGCACAAAAAATTTACAGTCAGAAGATCAATTATTTAAAGATATGAATTAATTACATTAAAAGAATTTAAAATAAATTAACATCTGTCCAAATGTCAATGCTAACAGCTAATAGCACGAATGAAAGTTATTCTTTAAATTCCGAACTTAGTTCATCCGTCGGTACGCAATGATTGTGTCTTTGCGATTATTTTTCTTATAGATACTACAAAGGCCGCCAACGAAGTAGCGGTAAAATCGTTGAATACTAATAGTTTGAAGCGGGTTCAAATCCTGACGAATGGATTGCCTGCATACCAGTTTTAGCGAATTTTTGCTGCCCATGTTTAATGTGAATATGAGCCAATTTTAGTTAGCTTTTCATGATGACGTGCCTTGACTACGAGTCCTCGCTCGGGTTGTGTTTGGTTTGGCTTGTTAGATTATTAAGCACGTGAAGGCGATCTGTCTAAGGGGAGGTATGCTTTCGTGACAGATTTTCTAAGGGAAACAATCTCGCACTACAAAAAGTTAAAAACCATAAAAACGCCCATGCAATCAGCTTGTTCACGGGGTTTGAATGCAGGTCAAACTACCAGTATGTTAAGAGAAGCGATTTCAAGAATATTTAATTATTTTATTTAGTTTGTCATAAGCTAAATAAAATAATTAAACATTCTTGAAATCTCTTCACATTACTGAAATGGCAATAACTTCGAATTAGACTATGCTACTACTTTTCCTCTAATTTGAAATTTTGAACTTTTCCGTTATCGGACAGCCCACCAGCGACTGAGCGGAGTCTAACGAAACAACTGGTGGTTCTGTCCGGGGTTCGAATCCCGGCAAACGGGCTGGTTGCCAAGATGATATTCTTAGTTTTCCATATGTGTAACATGTATGCAAGCCAATTTCCGTTAGGCAATCCTCGAACGAAGGCATCCTTCACCTTAGGCAAATAACCATCGAGTACTTTGCCATAATCAAATAAACCTTTATCCATAACATGCTTCAAATATTTTTATGTTGAAAAGTTCATGCGCCAAATTTGGCCCCCGTTGAATGAAATATGTTGTTTATTTTTTCTTTGTTTTTTTAATAACAACAAGGTTCTTGTTTTCAGAATATGAATTATCAATAAAATTCTTTTAATAATATGCGATTCTATTTGTTTTTTTGTTTAATGAAAAAATTAATTTAAGCGACAAATCTCTTACATTTAGAAAAATTTTCGATTTTCGAAACGAGTTGCTGTCAAAAGCGCATCTTCTTCGTTGCTGCTGCATGTATTTTATTTACAGCAAACTGTTTGGCGCGTGTGCTTTTATATTTGAAAAGATTCAGAGAATTTTAAACAGGGAAATAAAGTTATTAATTTTACTGAATTTTGTGGATTCTTTGTGTTTTGAGGTAAAAGTCAAACCATCAGATATGTGATAACCTTAAAATAAGGGTATACATATAATCAGGATTTTGCGGCCAGACATTCCCAGCGAAATACATTACAAAAAATTATCTATGTAGAATTAATGTATATTCTATTTAGTATTTCAAT